ATCACTTCAAACAGAAAAGATTTGTCCACCAATAAAATCATTTTACTGACAAGTTCTGCAGAGAGTGGGCGGGGCCTCGCAGAGTGGGCGGGGCCTCGCAGAGTGGGCGGGGCCTCCGCGAGCATCCCAGAAGAACAGCCCCGCCCCCGAGCACTCGGCGGAGGAGAGAGGAGATGAGAGAGGAGACGAAGAAGCAACAGAGGAGCTAGGAGACATCAGAGGAGCTAGGAGACATCAGAGGAGCTAGGAGACATCAGAGGAGCTAGGAGACATCAGAGGAGGATGGAGCTGCAGCCCTGAGCAGAAGTTGATGGAGTTTTAGTGAAGCTGGTGGTGCTCCGTGGATCTCGTCTGGACCTGCTCTTAGACCTGGTCTAGACCTGGTCTGAACCCGGTCTGAACCCGGTCTGAACCTGGTCTCTGGACTCTGTAGAACCTCGTGGACTTCTGGACTTGGTGAGGGTCTGGAGATGTTGGGCTGGTGGGATCTGCCCGTCGTCATGGTGACGCTGATGGTCGCCGCAGGAGACGGAGCCAGAGTCGTCAGCGGTGAGTCCGACTCAACTGAACCAGAACTCTGGTTCAGTCCTGGTTCAGTCCTGGTTTAGACCTGGTTCAGTCCTGGTTCAGTCCTGGTTTAGACCTGGTTTAGTCCTGGTTTAGACCTGGTTTAGTCCTGGTTTAGTCCTGGTTCAGTCCTGGTTTAGACCTGGTTTAGTCCTGGTTTAGACCTGGTTTAGTCCTGGTTTAGTCCTGGTTCAGTCCTGGTTTAGACCTGGTTCAGTCCTGGTTCAGTCCTGGTTTAGTCCTGGTTCAGTCCTGGTTTAGACCTGGTTTAGTCCTGGTTCAGTCCTGGTTTAGTCCTGGTTCAGTCCTGGTTTAGACCTGGTTCAGTCCTGGTTCAGTCCTGGTTTAGTCCTGGTTCAGTCCTGGTTTAGACCTGGTTTAGTCCTGGTTCAGTCCTGGTTTAGTCCTGGTTCAGTCCTGGTTTAGTCCTGGTTCAGTCCTGGTTTAGTCCTGGTTCAGTCCTGGTTTAGACCTGGTTCAGTCCTGGTTCAGTCCTGGTTTAGTCCTGGTTCAGTCCTGGTTTAGACCTGGTTTAGACCTGGTTTAGACCTGGTTTAGACCTGGTTTAGACCTGGTTCTGAGTCAGACCTGAGTCTCTGTGGATCTGTGTGTAAAAGGATCAGGTCCATTTACTGATAATGAGTCACTGCCCTGAATCAGACCTGGTTTTGGACCTGGTTTAGTCCTGGTTTAGTCCTGGTCTAGACCTGGTCTCAGACCTGGTTTTGGACCTGGTTTAGTCCTGGTTTAGTCCTGGTCTAGACCCGGTCTCAGACCTGGTTTTGGGCGCAGATGGAGCTGAGTTTAAATTGAATCAAAGAATCTAAACGAAACCTGATCCAGACTCAGCTCCAAAACAAGACTCTGTCTGAGCCTCAGAAAAGGACCTGGTTTAGTCCTGGTTTAGTTCTGGTTTAGACCTGATTTTGTCCTGGCCCAGATGTTTCTTCCTCTTATTTGTTGTTTGGGATCAACTCCACGAATTATTATTATATTATTTTACAAAACTATTATAATAACAGAGACCAGAACTGAACCAGGACTAAACCAGGTCTAAACCAGGACTAAACCAGGTCTAAACCAGGTCTAAACCAGGTCTAAACCAGGACTAAACCAGGACTAAACCAGGTCTAAACCAGGACTAAACCAGGTCTAAACCAGGACTAAACCAGGATAAACTCTAAACCAGGACTAAACCAGGTCTAAACCAGGACTAAACCAGATCTAAACCAGGTCTAAACCAGGACTAAACCAGGTCTAAACCAGGACTAAACCAGGTCTAAACCAGGACTAAACCAGGACTAAACCAGAAACCAGGACTAAACCAGATCTAAACCAGGACTAAACCAGGTCTAAACCAGGACTAAACCAGGTCTAAACCAGGACTAAACCAGATCTAAACCAGGACTAAACCAGGACTAAACCAGATCTAAACCAGGTCTAAACCAGGACTAAACCAGGTCTAAACCAGGTCTAAACCAGGACTAAACCAGATCTAAACCAGGACTAAACCAGGACTAAACCAGGACTAAACCAGGACTAAACCAGGACTAAACCAGGTCTAAACCAGGACTAAACCAGGTCTAAACCAGGACTAAACCAGGTCTTTCTCTTGAGTTTGTTTCTGGGTCAGTGGAGTTGAATTTTGTGTCAGGTTTTGTTTCATGTGGAGAGTTTCAGTAAAAACACAAATCTGAACCAGACCAGGTCACCACCCTGCACCTGCCGCACCTGCCCTGCCGCACCTGCCGCACCTGCCGCACCTGCCGCACCTGCCGCACCTGCCGCACCTGCTGTGTGTTGTTGTGTTGTTCCTGGTCACACTCAGAGCTGGACTTGTGTTTGTTTGTTTGTTTATTATTCGTTCGTCTACATCTGCACAACACTCTGTTCCACCTCGTGATGTCATCAAGTGAACAGCTCCTTTTCTCTTCAGTTCAGTCGAGATTCGTCGACTCCACGACTGAAATGTTCCAGATGATTCTAGTGAAGGTGAAGTGTGGAGTTTAAAAACACAGTGGAGCACTTCCTGTATCACCACACGATGACATCACGAGGTGGAGCAGAGGGTTTTGTTGTGCAGGAAACGACATCAGAGCAGAACAGAGCAAAGGATCATGGGACATGGAGTCTGTGTGTGAAATACAACAGAACAGAAGATTATGAGAGTCAGAGAGAGAGAGTGTGTGTGTGTGTATGGTGTGTGTGTGTGTATGGGGTGTGTGTATGGGGTGTGTGTGTGTGTATGGTGTGTGTGTGTGTATGGGGTGTGTGTGTGTGTGTATGGTGTGTGTGTATGGTGTGTGTGTATGTATGGGGTGTGTGTATGGGGTGTGTGTGTATGTATGGGGTGTGTGTGTGTATGGTGTGTGTGTATGGTGTGTGTGTGTGGGTGTGTGTGTGTATGGTGTGTGTGTGTGTATGGGGTGTGTGTGTGTGTGTATGGTGTGTGTGTGTGTATGGGTGTGTGTGTGTGTGTATGGGGTGTGTGTGTGTGTATGGGGTGTGTGTGTGTGTGTATGGGGTGTGTGTATGGGGTGTGTGTATGGGGTGTGTGTGTGTGTATGGGGTGTGTGTATGGGGTGTGTGTGTGGGGTGTGTGTGTGTGTGTGTGTATGGGGTTGTGTGTGTGTGTATGGGTGTGTGTATGGGGTGTGTGTGTGTGTGTGTGTATGGGTGTGTGTGTGTATGGGGTGTGTGTGTGTGTGTGTGTGTGTGTGTATGGGTGTGTGTGTGTGTATGGGTGTGTGTGTGTATGGGGTGTGTGTATGGGTGTGTGTGTATGGGGTGTGTGTGTGTGTGTGTGTATGGGTGTGTGTATGGGGTGTGTGTGTGTGTATGGGGTGTGTGTATGGGGTGTGTGTGTGTGTGTGTGTATGGGGTGTGTGTATGGGTGTGTGTGTGTGTGTGTGTGTGTGTGTGTATGGGGTGTGTGTGTGTGATGGGGTGTGTGTGTGTGTGTGTGTATGGGTGTGTGTATGGTGTGTGTGTGTGTGTGTATGGGGTGTGTGTGTGTGTGTGTGTGTGTGTATGGGGTGTGTGTATGGGGTGTGTGTGTGTGTGTGTGTATGGGGTGTGTGTGTGTGTATGGGGTGTGTGTGTGTGTATGGGTGTGTGTGTGTGTGTGTATGGGGTGTGTGTGTGGGGTGTGTGTGTGTGTATGGGGTGTGTGTGTGTGTGTATGGGGTGTGTGTGTGTGTATGGGGTGTGTGTGTATGGGGTGTGTGTGTAAGTGCTGATTAATCGTGTTAAAGACAGACTGAGCTACTTTAAGTGATTAGCTCCTTTCTCTTCTGCAGCATCATCACTTTAACCCCCCCCCCCTCCTCCTCCTCCTCCTCCTATACCCCCTGACACACACACACACACACTGTACACACACACACACACACACACACTACACACACACACACACACACACACACACTGTACACACACACACACACACACACACACACACACACACACACTGTACACACACACACACACTGTACACACACACACACACACACACACACACTGTACACACACACACACACACACACACACTGTACACACACACACACACACACACACACACACTGTACACACACACACACTGTACACACACACACACACACTGTACACACACACACACACACACACACACACACACACTGTACACACACACACACACACACACTGTACACACACACACACACTGTACACACACACACACACACTGTACACACACACACACACACACACACACACACACACACACTGTACACACACACACACACACTGTACACACACACACTGTACACACACACACACACTGTACACACACACACACACTGTACACACACACACACACTGTATGTGTTTGTACATAAATCTTCCTGTTTAATTCCAGATGAGTTTTGATAAAGTGTGAAAGTTTTGCCTCCTGTCGATTTGAGGAACAGAGAAGAACTTCGTTTCCCTCTGGACTCGTCGACCTTCATCTTGGGCTTAAACTCAAGTTTATGAACATGTGCAGTTTTTCATCTACATTTGAGGCAGTGATAAATGCAATAAAATCCTTGAAAATGATTGAAACTTTTGAGGACTTTGTCAGGTGGTGATATTTGACAGTAGAAAGACACAAGCCCCAGAACATTTTTTCTGCTGGTTTCCTCCATGTGTCAGGAAACACCAGGTCCAACATGACTTATGTGACCACGTTTGCAGTTTTAGCATCTTCATATTTACACTTACATCAGTTTGCAAATAACTTTTCTCAAAAACGGTGTTTTTTTTGGCCCTGAGACCAAACGGGGCCGAGTCCAGGTTTGTCCCATCAACTCCTGATACCCCAAGATAAATGGTTCTGATGGTTCTGGTTCTGATGGTTCTGGTTCTGATGGTTCTGGTTGTGGTCCTCAGGTCAGACCGTGTGCCCGGTCCCCGGCGCTCCCTGTTATAAAATGGCGTACTTCAGGTCAGTGAGCAGTCGGGTTTCGTTCTCGGAGGCGGTTCAGGCCTGTGACACCGACCAGGGGGCGCTACTGAGCATCGAGTCCCAGGACGAGCAGACGACCATCGAGAGGCTGCTGCAGGTGAGGGGCGGGGCTACAGGTGAGGGGGCGGGGCTGAGCAGCGGGAGGGCATCAGGTGTACTTGTGTCTTCAGGAGCTCCGGTCTGGAGCCGACTCGGACTTGGGGATCACAGACGGGGACTTTTGGATCGGTCTGAGCCGGACCGAGACCTGGGACCAGAACCAGACCCAGACCTGCCCCGAGCTCTACCACTGGACCGACGGCAGCAGCGCCACCTACAGGTACACGCAGTGTGTACTTTGTTGTGTACTTTGTTGTGTACTTTGTTGTGTACTTTGTTGTGTACTTTGTGTACTTCAGACAGTGGTACTTCGACGAGCCGTCGTGCGGCGGCGAGGCCTGCGTGGTCATGTACCATCAGCCCAGTGCACTTCCTGGAGTGGGCGGGGCTTATCTCCACCAATGGAACGACGATCGATGTAACATGAAACACAACTTCATCTGCAAGTACTCCCCAG